TGTATCTATCTATCTATCTATCTATCTATCTATCTATCTATCTATCTATCTATCTATCTATCTATCTATCTATCTATCTATCTGACAAACTTTTCATTCCTGCTTTGGAAAGGTCTTACATGGCGGTTTATTTTTATCATTAAATAAAAATAAAACCTTAAAAAATATTATTTCAAATAAACATTGACTGAAATAAAATAAAATATATAAAAACACTTAAAAATTATTTAAGCTACTAATAAACATTTAGTTTAGTTTAACTTCAAGTACTAAAATAACAAACTAAATAAATAAAGTAAAAACGTAAAATTAAAAACTATATAGACACTACATACAAAAAAAAAAGAAGACAAAAACACTTCAATTTTTAATTTTGTTTTACTAAAACATACAATTTAAATGAAAACAAAAAATGTAAAAATTCTATCAAATTCAAAATATTATCAAAACCCTTATTAGTATATCAATGATACTAAAATAAAACTTAATAATGTCTGTGGCAGTAGGATAATTATTAATGAATTACTGAAAGAAATTCTCACTTTGATTGCATCTTGCCATGAATGTTCTCGTTGGATGTCTTCAGCTTCTCTAGCCAATCTCTGAAAGAAAGAAAGATACAAATGTCAAAGGTGAAGGATCTTGGGTGACAGTACACAAATGAACTGATGTCTGAAATCTAAAATGACAACTGTTTTAAAATCAACATTACGATTTTGGGTAAAAATGTGTATGTAAGGTAAAATCATTTTGGGTCACTTCAACTCAGAAACACAAGATTTGCGCTTTTAAGTAAAATCTGAATGATTATTTTTACGTTTCTACTTCAAACTGTTGCAGACGCATCATTATTCAAATGATGGCTGAGACTTTGCTTTTTATTTCAGAGCTTAAAACTCAAAGTGTTTCTGGATGATGGAGCAATCCACATTTTCAAACACTTCTTTGTCTTCACTAGTTCATTTTAAAAAAGGCTATGAGGTGTGAGAAATGAATTTTTAAAAGTACAAATATTCCATGAAGTTTCTCAATTAATATGAGCACATGCTGCACGAATAATAATTTATAATAATTTTAAATGAATTAGCACATGATTTTGATCAATTTAGATGGAGAACAGCACGTCAAACTGCAGGAATCCCTTTTCCAAAGTATTTGTCAACAAGTTTCATTGGTAGTAAAAGGAGAAACACAAGAGTACATATTTCATTTGAGATAAAATGCAATGCAATTATTGCAATTTATCTAAAACAACATGCATTATACTATTATTTTCTGGAAATGCTGCCTAATCAGTTTATTTACTTCATTTCAAGTTATAACAAGGAGAAAAAAATCTTTACAAATTAGCACAAATAAATGCAGCACTGGAATCGTACAAATCTTACATAAAATTGTTGATGTATTATTTTTAACGTAGGACAAATCGTCTCTTGACACAGTTCTCAGAACACGTGGGCCGCTCAGCATGTTATAGATTCATTACATGCGTCATCATCACTGAAAAGCTCCGGCTCTACAGAAACAACCCACTCCTCTGTGCTAATGGTGATAATTCACTTCAACCTGCTCAATATGTCAGCAAACTTTTCCCAGAAAGTCGGTGTGACAGATGTTTCACAGAAATCTACACTCACGAACAGATTCACTTTCCACTACACTGACTCACAGGCTGCGGCACAATTTGCATTCTTCTACTACACACTAAGTATGTGCTTCACTGATAATGGAAAGTATGTACTTTTGAGTATATAGTATGACAAAGTCATCAAAGTGTGTTTCCATATGAAAAAAAACTTTTTGTTGCAAACTATTTGTGTTTGCATGCAAGTGTTTGTGTGCATTATTTTTTTAAATCATTCATTTGTAGGTTCACACATCTTTTTTGAAATTTATTGTGAAACATTTAAAACAAAATAACCATCCCTAATATAGCACACCATGATTTTAAGTAATATTAGGCAATAAAGTACACTTCATTATTTTCTAAATCTCAACAATATACTAAAGTAGCAATGGTGTTACAGTACAAACAATATTAGGCTGCATCCTAAATTGCATATGCATTCTTAGCAGTATGCAAAATTAGCCTTAGTGCATCTTAAATCATGTTTTTTTTATGCAATGCTAATAAGTAACACCTGTATGGTCAATATTAGTCCAAGCACCATGCATATTTTGAAAATAGTACACCAAATGATGCACTAATGCTAATTTTGCATACTACTAAGAATGCAGAGTTTGCAAATTAGGATGCAGCCTAATATTATCAAGTGAGATGTGGGATATTCCTACTTAAATTTGCACACTATTGCACTTTTCCAAACAGGATGCAGGAAATTCTGAGTTGCAGCAACAGACTCCAGTCCAACATGTTGCCGTCTAAAGGAAGCATGTGTTTAACTGGCTGCATATTGATTGCATCAGCACTACTAATTGGTTAAATGTGGACCATGCAAATTTTATAAGTAGCTGATCCTAGTAAAACTGTGGAAAAGATGCTCTCCCCATCTGGAAGTGAGAGTGGAGTTTTTATCTGCCCTATGCAGTTCTCACTTCCTGTGCTCATGAAGGAGATACAAACACCTGACAGCTTCAGAGAGTTTGTCCGGATAAAGACGGAGGAAAGTTGGCAAAAGTTTTTCCACTAATAATCGCTAGAACTGTCCAGACCGTGTCTCCAGAGTCTGAACGAGCTGTTCTTCTAACGAGAGCCACTTTGCTTGAGGCTCACAGTTGAGATGCCAGCAAAATAATGAAAGGACAACCGGACATGAAATTCTTCCATTTCTTTCCCATACAGGGTACCTGTGCTCATGAAGGAGATACAAACACCTGACAGCTTCAGAGAGTTTGTCCGGATAAAGACGGAGGAAAGTTGGCAAAAGTTTTTCCAGTAATAATCGCTAGAACTGTCCAGACCGTGTCTCCAGAGTCTGAACGAGCTGTTCTTCTAACGAGAGCCACTTTGCTTGAGGCTCACAGTTGAGATGCCAGCAAAATAATGAAAGGACAACCGGACATGAAATTCTTCCATTTCTTTCCCATACAGGGTAACAAAAAATTGCTCAAGAAACTCAGAACTGAAGAATCGGTTCCCTATCAATTCATGAGTGTGTTGAATTGCCACATTACACAGAAAGTTGAACTGGAATGATCCTTATGGGAATTTGCAGTCCTATAATTTAAAGAAATTCAACACAGATGCATTTTGGGAAATTAAATGTCTAACTGTCTGTCTGTCCATCTATCTATCAGACATTCAAACTTTACTTTTCTCGTTTTATGAATTTCTTTGAATTTGAATGAATTTACATTCTACTTCTATACATTTGAATTCTATTTACTATAAGTTTGTGCACAAGTTCCAAACTGACCATTCAGATCGAAACGATTAAATCAAATTCACTCCACATATGAAAGTGGTGTGGTACAAGTTGTAATTGTATGTACAATTTATATTAAAATAATTTCTCAAATTAATAGTAATATTTATAATATATGAATTATTAATATAATAAAATATATAATATATGAAATAATTGATATAAAAAATAATTAATAACAATTTATTTGATTTTTATTGCAATTTATTTCAGACGTGTAAAAAAACATAATTAATCTATATGAATTATTAATATAATAAAATATATAATATATGAAATAATTTATATAAAAAATAATTAATAACAATTTATTTGATTTTGATTGCAATTTATTTCAGACGTGTAAAAAAACATAATTAATCTAATAAATCAATCAATCAATCAATCAATCAATCAATCAATCAATCCACTTGAACAAAAAAAACTGAATTCTTATACCATAAGAAAAAATTCAAATTGCAACTCTGCAAGGCATTCTCAATTCAGTTCTGAACTGAGAATGTGTTTCAGTGCACCAACCCTGAAAATCATGGGCTATATTCTTGTGCAACAGACAAACTGAAAAAATATATCTTGAAGTCCAAAGAATCTGTCAAATTGCATACGCAAGACTAGTTTTACGGTGCTTTTTTGCCTTTTTGGACAAGAGCAGCATGCACATTCCTCTAAGTATCTCCTTTTGTTCAGCACAAAAGAAAGAAAGGTTTGGAACGACATGAGAGCGAGTAAAAGATTAGCCAGAATATTCCATTCCGCGTGAGCTACTGATTTAATCATGCGTGGGAGCGCGATATTGTTTTCAATCTCCATTTTCGGACACCATCGGACGTAGTGTAAATAGAGCAGCTCCCACACAGGTGATTCACGCTCTCAAGCCCTGTTCTTCGTGATTCTCCTGGGGAGATTCACCTGATCTGCGTCCAGACTCACCCACGAACACCTGCCGCCCGTCTCCGGGCTTAAGGTGCAAAAACTCCCACTCGTTTCCAGTGGGAACGCGGGCAAAATTCCAGACGATCTCTATCACTCGACTCTCGACAAAAGAGCCCTCATATAAAGCCTTCGAAAATATCAATTACATACCTTTCATTGACTGCATTCGAAAGCTTTTAAACTGAGGCTTAAACGACTAATAGGCTAGCTGCGGTAATGTACCTAATGTTATAGAAATAACAGAGCGAGCGCTTGAGAGGTGAGTCTAATTCAACGGCAGTTGCGTTTAATGGCTACACCATTAGGAGTAATGCAAGCGCCAAATGACACTCCACTCCAGGGTGCCAATTCAAACCGTATTAAACACTATGTCTTATTGACCAAACTTGCGTGAGGGATATTATCCACATATATACGGCATCCTATGCTTTTCATGCATTTTAAGTCACAGTCGTGCTTATGAGTAAGATTATAAGACCTCCATTTAATACAAAACAAATTGTTCCAAGATATTAAGTGTAAAGCGATGTTTGTTGTTGAAGTTTAAGTCTGCAATTTCTGCACCACTAGCAGCACTAAACAGAGCTGCAATGTTTGGCAATGATCAGTATCACTGCAACTCTGTTATTGTTGCCATTAGAGGCGCAAAATTACACACTTACTATTTACTATATAGTGAAAGCTGCAAAGTTTGAAATATGGAGTAGGACTGAGTAAAAATGGTGAAATCTAACACAACTGTATTATGTGCATTGTGTATGAAGTATCCTGAAAAACAAGTTTTGATCTAACAATTCAGACTGAAACACATTTTAATACATCAGATTTCAATCAAATTCACTCCACACAGGAATGTGGTTTGAAGCATATTTATTTATTTAGTTGCTGTTCAGGCTATGAACAAAATGGATTTGTGTCAGAATGGCAAATACATTTTGTAATAAATAAATAAATAAAGCCACCTGGAGAAATCCACAAAAGCAACTGAACCTGATTCCTAAATAAAAACAGAACTGTGCTACCCAATTTTACTTTATTTTATTTTATTTTACTTTACTTTAATTTTTTTAATTTTATTTTATGTTACTTTATTTTATTGTTTGCTTTTCACACTACAAACAACTACACTGAATACATTTGGAAATGTTAAATATATAAACAAACAAAAATAAATAAATGCATTTATTTTAAATTTGTTTTACTTTATTGTCTGCTTTCAGACGACAAATAACAAACTGAAGTGATTAAAGCTGAATGGGCAAAATAAATAAAAAACGTTATTT